CTCATTACTTCAAGATTTTTGCACTGAATACAATAATTAAGATTTGCATAGCGTCATCTATAGTGGACTCTGCCATTTACTTTTCTTGGGTTCAGTAGCTCTCTTATTGTTACTATTAGTATTTGTATTACTGTAGCACCAAGAAGCATTACTCATGGATCAGGACCCATTATTGGGAGAAACCTTCTGCCAAAAAGGTGTCTCATGTAGCCAGTGGCGGATTAATAATTTTAATGATTATTACTGGAAGGAGAGGTCAGAGTCTTGACTGGCTCCTTAAAACATTTTGTTCTTCCCACCAACATCACTATGGTGGAAGAGGTATTTGTCTGAGCAGCTTTGATTCTGGTACTGCACTGATTGCCTCAACCACACTGCCACATCTCACCAGTTCACAACCTAACAACCTGCACTCAATGCACTATAGAGGACACCTGCAACCTTACTGGAGCAGGTAAACCCTATCACAGGTTTCTCATGTCTTTGTGTGGAACCCAGGCATAGAGTTGGATGAGCTAGTGACCTCTCACCTGACTGTTATGAAACTCATAAAATGTGCTGTGTCTCAGATCAACCTGACTTGAGACCTATAAAAATTAATCTAACAAATACAGGTTTTACATATCAGAATGTGGAACATGTTACCCTTGAAGAAGGAAGGCTCAAAGGCTATGCTTGTCAGAGAAATGTCTAAGTTAAAGATGTCAGTCATTGGTCTCACTGAAATCCACCTTAAAGACAGCAGTTAGGAAAGAATAGGTGCCAGTCACCAATGCTCCCTAAGGTGGTATGGTCATCTGCTCCAAATGCCTACCAACCTCTTTGTAAGAATCATTTTCAAGTTTTCTCTGCTGGTTTCAAGCACTCCTGGAAGACCTAAAACATGATGGCTGTCCTTCAGAAGTTTTCAACCATGTAACATGCTAGGTTTGGCTCAGGACAGAACATCATGGAGGTACATAACTCGTTCAATTACCTCTATGCTGTCCAAGCAACAGAATGAGAATTAAGTGACCACCAACATCTCCATCGAGTTGCTTGGGTGTAGTTTGAACTATCAGCTCTGGATCCAGGTGTTATCTTGTCAGACACTGAAACTTTCTGATGGAAATGGTCATAAGTTCTGAGGAGATATAGAGCCTGGTGATGAGGGATATTAAGAAGTTTCTACAGGATTGCATTAAAACAGGAGGTTCTCAAACTAATGTCTGTGGACCACTGGTGGTTCACATACAGTGCTTGCTTGCGGTTCACAGAGAATTGGCTGGTCACAGGGCATTGGCTCTTCCTATTTTCAGCTATTAAAGTGAGCTAAAACACATTAACTGGTTTTCTAATATTTTTCAATATCAGTTGCTACAGTTGCCATAGGGGTGTTATGCCATCATGGAAAGGTCCATGGGACTGCAAATGGGAAGGATGGTGGCCACAAAAAGTCTCTCTATTAAGAGATGGTCCACATTATTAAAAAGTTTGAGATCCCCTGAATTAGGAGGTGGTCAGGGACAAATTTAAATTTAAGAGTAGCAATTCCTTTTTGACCTAAATTTAATCCCCAGAACCGATGCTAAGGCTATACTGCTGCTTAAAAATAGAAGTATATGTACATTGCTGTTGAATATATCACAGGTGAGAAAATTATTAGAATGCATACCTAAGAGGGAAGAGAATATCAAAAAGTCTTAACTCAATAGAGATGTACTGGATTATTCTGACAATGTAAGCAATGTAAATATAAATGAATGAAAATATATCAAGTGTAAGGTGTAGCACAAAATGATAAAAATATCTTGTATTTGAGAAATAGTATATTATCATATAGCTAAAGATTATATGTATGCATATATACAAGAGGGCAGAGTTAAGGTAGCAGCTGCAGCCTTAATTGTGATATTTTCTGATTGCTTACATATATAGCCCTAACATTTCTTTACTGTATTTTTTGTTTCTTTTGTTTTGCAAGGTCTACGTTTTTCATGATGGAAATGAACTCCAGCCAAGTGCTCCAGAATATTAAGAGAGAGCCACAATACACACATATGTATTCCATGAATCAGTTATCGAAGTTCTATTTCAGTCTGAAGCTAGAAGCCAGATGAAGGGAGTAATTGGCTGCTCTGAATCACCAGGATGATAGAAATAATGACAGAGAAAAGCTGGAACATTCTGAATAGCCTAAAATTGGAGTCCTGAGCCAAACCTCTCTCACCTGAAAAAATAAAGAATGAGCACTGGAAACCCTCCCAATGAGTCTGAACATTCAGAAGTCATCACCATCACCATCCAGAAGTCTCTGCAAGATACTATTGCTAAGACTTCTATTACAAATAGGTTTAGATGAGGTTAGTAATCATTTTTAAAATAAATGTTACTTTGAAATCTTCCTTCCATTTTAAATCAGGTGCATCTAATCTCCAGTTTTATAATTCCCTGCATTTCAAAATTAATTTCACAGTTAAACAATAGAATACCAATTTAAATGTATTAAATATTTTTAGATGTTTTTTCAAATATATTGATTTCTATTACAACACAGAATACAAAGCCTACAGTGCTCACTTTATATTTATTACAAATATTTGCACTGTAAAAATTATAAACAAAAGAAATAGTATTTTTCAATTCACCTCATACACGTACTGTAGTGCAATCTCTTTATCGTGAACGCGCAACTTACAAATGTAGATTTTTTTTTTTGGTTCCATAACTGCACTCAAAACCAATGTAAAACTTTAGAGCCTACAAGTCCACTCAGTCCTACTTCAGCCAATCACTAAGACAAACATATTTGTTTACATTTACGGGAGATAATGTTGCCCGCTACTTATTTACAATGTCACCTGAAAGTCAGAACAGGCATTTGCATGGCACTTTTGAAGCTGACGTTGCAAGGTATTTACGTGCCAGATATGGTTAACATTCATATGCCCCTTCATGCTTCTGCCACCATTCCAGAGGACATGCTTCCATGCTGATGATACTCGTTAAAAATATCTGTTAATTAAATTTATGAATGAACTCCTTGGGGAAGAATTGTATGTCTCCTGTTACATTTTACCCGCATTCTGCCATTTATTTCTTGTTACAGCAGTCTCGGATGATGACCCAGCACATGTTCATTTTAAGAACACTTTCACTGCAGATTTGACAAAACACAAAGAAGGTACCAATGTGATATTTCTAAAAATAGCTACAGCACTCAACCCAAGGTATAGAATCTGAAGTGCCTTCCAAAATCTGAGAGGGACGAGGTGTGGAACATGCTTTCAGAAGCCTTAAAGAGCAACACTCCAATGTGGAAACCACAGAACTTGAACCACCAAAAAAGAAAATCAACCTTCTGCTGGTAGCATTTGACTCAAATGATGAAAATGAACATGCATGGGTCCGCTCTGCTTTGGATCATTATCGAGCAGAACCCATCATCAGCATGGACGCATGTCCTCTGGAATGGTGGTTGAAGCATGAAGGGAGATATTTAGTGCATCTGGCATGTAAATATCTTGCAACGCTGGCTACAACAGTGCCATGTGAACGCGTGTTCTCACTTTCAGGTGATATTGTGAACAAGAAGCAGGCAGCATTATCTCCTGCAAATTGTAACCAACCCTGTTTGTCTGAGGGATTGGCTGAAGTAGGACTGAGTGGACTTGTAGGCGTTAAAGTTTTACATTGTTTTATTTTTGAATGCAAGGTTCTTTTGTACATAATTCTACATTTTTAAGTTCAACTTTCATGATAAAGAGATTGCACGACAGTACTTGTATTAGGTGACTTGAAATATACTATTTCTTTTTTTACAGTGCAAATATTTGTAATAAAAATAATATAAAGTGACTACTGTACACATTGTATTCTATGTTGTTTATTTATAATTTAAATCAATATATTTGAAAATGTAGAAAACATCCAAAAATATTTAAAGAAGTGGTATTCTATTATTGTTTAACAGCGCAATTAATCATGCGATTAGTCACGATTAATTTTTTTTATCTCTGCCTGTCCCCTCCCCTTGCCTTCTGTCTGTTTCTTGTAACTAAAAGGAGCAGTAATTTAAAGGAGGGAGAGAAGACATCTACTGGGGAAATGCTCAAAAAACTCACTACTAAAACATCCCAAAGGCCTCTTGGAAAGAACCTTTGCTCTGAGAACAGCACAATAAAGGTTATTTGATGGCAGTGTCATCTATTTATAAAACTTTTCCTCTAAACATTAAACACCAGATATCTCTAGTACAATCAGTTTTGGGATGTGCAGCAACCAGTGTTGACATCTAAAGCTGATTCTTCTCTCACACCAGCATAACTCCAGTGTCCCAGTGTAATTACTTGTGATTTAGCTCAATGTATCTGAGATAAGAATCAGGTCCTCAATATTTCAATACAGGAAAAGGAAATTAATTCAGGTGCATTGTGTGCTGTTGCATGGTGCTGGAATAACAGCTCTGAAGGTGGCAACCCTTTATTAATCCACAGAAGTAGTACAGTAAGAGCAGCAGTACTGCAAGTTTCTCCAAACTACCCCACCAATGTGCTTCATACCTGACCTAGATACATGGTAATTAACCATCTATTCCCATACAAGTCTTGGCCTGCCCTCAGAAACAGTCCACAAGATGGCAATAATGATGCTGGGTTTTACGATGTGGATACCTGTTCACTGGGAACTGAACTGAGACCATCGATTTGTTTCACAGAGTGAATGGCATATTGCAGAAAGAAACAACATTTAGGATTGGATTTCACTCATGATAGCCTGGGGCCAGACAAATCCACTTGTGAGAAAACAAATGAATTATAAAATATTAGGGGTGAAATCCTACCCACACTGAAGTCAATGGCTAAATTTCCATTGACTTCGATTCAGCCAGGATATCACCCTTGTTTTGTCATGGTTGGGGTTTTTGGCCAACAACAACAGTTGCCCTTTGCTTAACTGTGTTGGTTGTCCAGTTAAGCATCCATCAGTGCTAAAAAATGTGTTTGTTGGTGTGTACGTACCACCTTTCATCATTCCCACTTCATAGCACTTTCGCAGCCGGCAGGCCTGACAGCTCTTTCTCCTGTTCTTGTCGATGGTGCACTGGTTAGTAGCGGGACACATGTAGTCGTTGTGCCCTGTATAGCCAGAGGGAAAATATAAAGTAGAATTAATGAAAAATAGACAATCCCTTAACAGAGTAGTTTCCAGGGTTCCTGTAATACTTTATCTTAAATTTCTCTTTGAGTATTTTTCACGGCAGCTATAATCATAAGGAATTTGATAGCTTTCCCCAAACAACCGTGTTAGGTGTATACTTGTGCTTTATTACGGATGTGTTGGTGGTGGCGCTAGAGTGAAGACAGAATCTATACTTCCACTGTAAGTTCCATTTTTAGTATCCCATATCGAAGTAGTGTTAGAAATATGTCAACACTTACTTAATAAAAAGAATGGACACCACAATTCTAATAGTCAAAACAGAGGACTGTCATAGAGTCATAGACTTTAAGGTCAGAAGGGACCATTATGATCGTCTAGTCTGACCTCCTGCACAACGTAGGCCGCAGAATCTCACCCACCCACTCCCGCAACAAACCCCTAACCTATGTCTGAGCCATTGAAATCCTCAAATCATGGTTTAAAGACTTCAAGGTGCAGAGAATCCTCCAGCAAGTGACCCGTGCCCCATGCTGCAGAGGAAGGCGAAAACCCCAGGGCCTCTGCCAATCTACCATGGAGGAAAATTCCTTCCCGACCCCAAATATGGTGATCAGCTAAGCCCTGAGCATGTGGGCAAGACTCACCAGCCAGACACCCAGGAAAGAATTCTCTGTAGTAACTCAGATCCCACCCATCTAACATCCCATCACAGGCCATTGGGCATATTTACTGCTAATAGTCAAAGATCAGTTAATTGCCAAAATTAGGCTATCCCATCATACCATCCTCTCCATAAACTTATCAAGCTTAGTCTTGAAGCCAGATATGTCTTTTGCCCCCATTACTCCCCTTGGAAGGCTGTTCCAGAACTTCACTCCTCTGATCGTTAGAAACCTTCGTCTAATTTCAAGTCTAAACTTCCTGATGGTCAGTTTATATCCATTTGTTCTTGTGTGCATATTGGTACTGAGCTTAAATAATTCCTCTCCCTCCCTGATATTTATCCCTCTGATATATTTATAGAGAGGATTCATATGTCCCCTCAGCCTTCTTTTGGTTAGGCTAAACAAGCCGAGCTCTTTGAGTCCCCTTTCATAAGACAGGTTTTCCATTCCCCGGATCATCCTAGTAGCCCTTCTCTGTACCTGTTCCAGTATGAATTCATCCTTCTTAAACATGGGAGACCAGAACTACACAGAGTATTCCAGATGAGGTCTCACCAGTGCCTTGTATAATGGTACTAACACCTCCTTATCTCTACTGGAAATACCTTGCCTAAAGCATCCCAAGAGCGCATTCGCTTTTTTCAGTGATATCACATTGGCGACTCATAGTCATCCTATGATCAACCAATACTCTGAGGTCCTTCTCCTTCTCTGTTACTTCTAACTAATGAGTCCCTAAATGCATGACCTTGCATTTTCCACTATTAAATTTCATCCTATTACTATTACTCCAGTTTACAAGGTCATCCAGATCTTCCTGTATGATATCCCGGTCCTTCTCTGTATTGGCAATACCTCCCAGCTTTGTGTCATCTGCAACTTTATTAGCACACTCCCACTTTTTGTGCCGAGGTCAGTAATAAAAAGATTAAATACGACTGGTCCCAACACCGATCCCTGAGGAACTTCACTAGTAATCTCCCTCCAGCCTGACAGTTCACCTTTCAGTATGACCCGTTGTAGTCTCCCCTTTAACCAGTTCCTTATACACCTTTCAATTTTCATATTGATCCCCATCTTTTCCAATTTAACTAATAATTCCCCATGTGGAACCATATCAAATTCCTTACTGAAATCGAGGTAAATTAGATCCACTGTGTTTCCTTTATCTAAAAAATCTGTTACCTTCTCAAAGAAGGAGATCAGGTTGGTTTGGCATGATCTACCTTTTGTAAAACCATGTTGTATTTTGTCCCAATTACCATTGATCTCAATTTTCTTAACTACTTTCTCCTTCAAAATTTTTTCCAAGACCTTGCATACTACAGATGTCAAACTAACAGGCCTGTAGTTACCCAGATCACTTTTTTTTCCCTTTCTTAAAACTAGGAACTACGTTAGCAATTCTCCAGTCATACGATACAACCCCTGAGTTTACAGATTCATTAAAAATTCTTGCTAATGGGCTTGCAATTTCTTGTGCCAGTTCCTTTAATATTCTTGGATGAAGATTATCCGGGCCCCCTGATTTAGTCCCATTAAGCTGTTTGAGTTTGGCTTCTACCTCGGATGTGGTAATATCTACCTCCATATCTGCATTCCCATTTGTCATCCTGCCATTATCCCTAAGCTCCTCATTAGCCTCATTAAAGACTGAGGCAAAGTATTTATTTAGATACTGGGCCATGCCTAGATTATCCTTAACCTCCACTCCATCCTCAGTGTTTAGCAGTCCCACTGATGGCAGGATTCCTGTGTTCTATTTCTAGCTCTACCACTGACTTGAGGTAATTTGGGCAAGTAACTTAGGGCCTCAAGTTTAGCTATCTGGAAAATAGGTGAAATATCTACCTACCTCCCACACAGGTCTGTTGGGAGGATTAGGTAACTGATTACAATACTTCACAAAAGGTCCTTGGAATGGAAAGGACCATCGAATATTTTTTAGCACCCACTACACTTTTGGGCAGTGAAAAAAGTACATGAAATCATAAAAACATAATATAGAAGTGCCAAATATAAATCAAACAATCGACTAATTGCATTTCATATCTAGGTGGGCTTCAACTTGGGTTAAATTACAAATTTTAAAAGTGACAGTGTTTAATAGAGTATTCCAGCAGTAGTGCCTTTTCACTGTGAGAGCCACTGCATTTGAAACCTGTTGATTCTTGTTGCAGACCGTTACCATATAGTCAAGTCTGCCACAATAGAGGTGATTACTTTCCATAGGCTTGCTATCTATTCCTAGTAAGAGGTATTAAATTTATTCCCAAGGATTTTTCTTGTCTCACATATTTAAAAAAAAACCCTACAACTTTCCAGTTATAGAGAAAGTTTGCTGAGGATGGAAAACGCTGTCCAAACAGATCTTGCCGAGTGTTCTTTATTTTTCCAACTAAACAGGACAAGGTACAGCACAGAATGAAACAATTTTACTGCAGAACTGTTTGTTCCTTATTCAGGTCAGGGATCAGTCTGAGGTAGAGTGGGGGTGGGGGCTTGACAGAGGCCTTGGTCTCATCAAACCCTCTATCCTTGATTATACATTAGAAAATACAGAATAAAAACGGCTATCAGATTACACCAAGAACATCTGCTGTTTTATGCTGCATAATTGGGATCCAATCAAAATCAGCTGCAGAACTGGTAACTTGCTAATATGCTGACAGCAGACCACACACTGTCTGAAATAAATAGGCATATTAATTATTAGAATTAATATTATTTATAAGCCCTGGCTAATAGAGTGGTGTGACTAGAACAACCTGAATCTGCAGGCTGTGCTCCAGGACTGAGCTCAAGAAATATTTCAGAGATACTACCTCAATCTAAGCAAGCCCATTTTAAATTTTCCACTTCCTTCTGGTATTATACAGTGTGTTCTATATCTGATTCAAAACATTTCACATGTAAAAAAGTCAAGCTGGAAAAAGAACAGTTCCCACCACATAAAGATGTGGTATCTATTAGAAAAAAAAGTAAAGTAACATTAAAAAAAAATCTTGTTTTATATGGTCAAGTTAAACAGCAGCAACAAAAAAAATCACTGTAGATCTTGTCCCCATCCTCAGTCTCAGTTTATAAACCAAATGTGAGAGCGCTGAAATGGAGGAAAGAGTGTAAGCATACCCATGTGAGCTGTGTGTGGTGTTGTTGCTTATCTTGACTGTTAAAGATCCTGACTTTGCTCCTCAGCAGTCAACAGGTTAAACTCACATTGAGACCAGGAGCAGGCCCTAGTGCTTCAATTCAGCAAACTACTTAATGACATACTTAACTTTAAGAAGGGAGGTGGTAGTTCCATTGAGGTTAAAGTTAACATATGCCCAAGTGTTTTGTTGAATTGGGATCTAAATGGCTAATTTTCCTATTGTGGGTGTTTTTAGAGATATCATGGGTTTACATGGCTCAAAAGTTCTTTTTAAAAGTCTGCCTTATTAATTATTAGTAGTAGTAGAATATCAGTATATTTTACAGCACCTAAAGATATTCTTGGCACTTTATAGAACAGTTTACAAAACCTGGTCCCTTCCACAAAGAGCTTGCATTCCAGTTATAGAGGTGAAACCACATGCAAAGGTAACAAACATTTGGGAGGGTGGGTTTGAGGCAGCACAATGGCAACAGCAACAAGCTCAAGGTTATTCATTAGGCCAAAATGGTTCTCTCTCATGATCAGAGAATATTTCTTGTTGCACGTGCTGTATGAAAGATAGTAAAACACTTCTGTGGTGAACTGTGCTTTCTCATAAGTGTCATCAAAAGTCAGGTGGCAAGTGTCTAAGTCCAGGCCCATCGCACTTCTAAAAGACTTGCATTGTACAGTCCCTATGAGGGCCTGCCTCATAGACAAAGGCCCTGACCCTACCAATGATTCCATCTAGGTGGATAGCAAGGATGCAGATAATGCAAATGGTAATACTGGTTGTGTAGTGGACACCTCTCCACAAGAAATTTGATTGAGATCATCAGTTCATTTCACATAGGCTAGTAAACAGCCATCAGCTGGTACCACCTTTCAGTCACTGGACTTAAACTACTAGCCTATCCTATTACTATTCCGTGAGCACTCCCACAAAAAGTTTAATTTCTAATTTGATGGATGACTTTCATTTCACTTCAGTGAAGGAAAATAAGAATCTATCCCAGAAATGATGAGCTCAAAAGTATGTTTAATTTAATTAGTGTAGTCACCACATATACACAAAAACCTAACCTGAAACCAATATAGTTTTCAATACAGCAGCACAAGGTTTCAGACACTTTGTATAATTAGATGCCACCACCTTCTGTTCCATAACACATTC